TGACCCTTTTCAGTACATAACTCTTGCCAGTGTGTGTATGGCCATGTATAGGCACAAGTTTTTAAAACCAGATACAATTGCCCTGCTGCCTCATGACCACTACCATAGACAGACAAAGAGATTTTCAACCCCCTCTATACAGTGGCTAATGTATCTCGAGCATAAAGAAGGTGTCGAGATAAAGCACGCACTGAAAGGTGGTGAGTATAAAACAGGGCCTTATTTGATTGACGGTTATGCTGTAGTTGGAGGGCGACGTACAGCCTTTGAATTTAATGGGTGCTTTTTCCATGGCTGCCCCACATGCTTCAGCCCAACCGATAGAAACCCATTAACAGGTTCTTCCTTTGGTGCCTTATACGATAAAACACAGAGAAAAAAAAGTTATTTGAAAAGCCAGGGGTTTGCTATTAGGTCCCTGTGGGAACACGAGTGGAGGGAGATGGTGGAGGCTGACAGGGATCTTAGAGCTTTTCTTAGCGAGAAGAAACTCCCATCGCCTCTGCTTCCCAGAGAGGCTTTCTTTGGGGGGAGAACAAATGCCATTTGTCTATATTACAAAACTACGGCTGGTGAAAAAATACACTATTATGATTTCACCAGCCTGTACCCATTTGTGAACAAGACAAAGAAATATCCAATTGGACACCCCCAAATTATTTATAAGGACTTTGGCCCACTATCTGAATATTTTGGCCTGGCCAAAGTTAAGGTGCTTCCACCTCAAGGTCTCTTTTTCCCTGTTTTACCCTTCAAGGTGGAGGACAAACTTCTGTTCCCACTGTGCCGCACATGTGCAGAGGGTAAGCTGAGAGTGCGTTGTGTGCATTCAGCAGAGGAAAGGGCTCTAGAAGGGACATGGTGTACAGTAGAACTAATGAAGGCTCTAGAGAAGGGCTACAGGCTTATGTCGATTAGCGAGGTGTGGCATTTTGCGGAAAGCTCTGAAGATCTGTTTTCTGAATACATTAAAATTCACCTCCGCCAAAAACAGGAAGCTTCTGGCTATCCTAACTGGTGTACAGGTGAGAGGGAAAAGGCAAAATACATTGAGGATTACCTGGAGAAAGAAGGTGTTCAGCTGCGTGCTGAACACATAGCTGTCAACCCTGCAAGGCGGCAAATTGCAAAATTGTTTTTAAATTCTTTGTGGGGCAAGTTTGGCCAACGTTCAAACTTGGAAAATACCAGCATAGTGAGGGACACAACCAAACTTTTAGAATATGCCTTTTCTCCAGCATATGATGTTTCAGGATTTGATATCATTGATGACGGGATAGCAAGCGTGTCCTGGAAATACACGAAAGGTTCAGCTACTTTATTAAACAATGCGAATGTCCCTATTGCCTGTTTTACAACAGCATATGCCCGGCTGCAGCTTTATGATGTACTGGACAAGCTGCAAGATCGTTGCTTGTACCACGATACCGACTCTGTAATTTTTGTGAGTAGAGATGGTGACTGGAATCCCCCCTTAGGGGATTATTTAGGTGATCTCACAAGTGAGCTCCCGCCAGATGAACATATCACAGAGTTCACATCAGCTGGGCCCAAAACCTATGGATACAGATTATCTGGGGGGAAAGTGTCCATGAAAGCCAAGGGAATCACTCTCAATGTTTCAAATTCTGAAAATATCAACTATAACACACTGAAGGACCTGGTCCTAGACTACGGCTCAGAGCAGGCGCCTAAAGAGATCCGAGTCCAGCAGCCCTCCATCATAAGACATAAAAATCAGTGGCTCATCAAGACAGGCCTGCGTAAGAAAACACTGAAAGTCGTTTATGACAAGAGGGTCCTCATGGATGATTACAAAACCTTGCCATATGGTTTTTAAGATGTATGTATGTAGGAAACACCCATTACCTGCAGTAATGGCTGGTCCTAGCAACTACGGCAAAAGTTTCTTAGTAAAAATATTTTGGGCAATGCTGTTGACAGAACCTTTATGATGAAATCCTCTGTAAGTATCTCTTTGTTGAAGGACTGCCTGAAACACTTAACAATGTTAAACTTCTCTTCTCTAATAAAGTATAAAAGATCATGGTTTGTTACGTCATGCTTGTTAAAATGCTGAAATTGAGAGCCTCTACCCAATACATGCATCATTGGGATCTGAGCGTTTTATTAATTACTTGGAATATTTTCTTTCATGGAAAAAGCAACAGAACCATCAGCTTAAATACCAAATATCTGGTGCTGTTTAAAAACCCCATGGACAAATTACAGACGTTGGCCCTGCCAAATGTACCCAGGGAAGTCCCAGTTCTTTCTGGAGGCCTTTGAGGATGCCACACAAAAACCTTGTGGGTATCTGGCTGTGGATTTAAATGCCTCCATGCCAAATTCTTACAGGTTAAGAACTGGGATTTTCCTACTTGAGTAGCCTGTGATGTACGTCTTAAAAACAAAACAGGTGAACACTGAATACAAAAGGAAACAGCTACACACTCTGTTACTCCTGAATCCTCCCAAGGACAACAAGTCCAGCCATATAAAGAGAAATTTGCCTCTTCTGAAACTATTAATCAAGGCTTCCCCACAACAAAGGAAAGCCATTCTCTGCTCAGCTTCAGATGATCTCAGAAATTGCTCTCTACATTAAAAGTCAACATCCCCCTAGTACTTCATCAGGTGTACATGCTGGGAAAAGGTGAAATGTTGTTAAAAACCTGAGTAACAAAAGAGTATCTCTGAAAAAGGAGCAGCAGCTGGTGAAGCAATCTGGGGGCTTTATCATGCCTCTGTTGAGCTTTGCTGTCCCTCTCTTACTGGTCTTTTAACAAGCCAGTAATGGAATATGCAGAAAAAATGTACTTGGTTCTTAGCCAACAATTTAAACAGTTAAGAAACCCACCTCCCCCTTAAGGAGGAAAACATCAGAACCACCACAATGCATTCCTTAGATACTGAAACGGGGGTTCTCCAAGGTCGAGACTTAACAGAATATAAGAAGGCCAAGCTTTTTGATGCTGTGCTTCAAAATATTTTAGGTCATGTGAAGCAGGAGGAAACTGAAAAATCTAAATTGAGCATGTTTCTACCTCATTCAGAGGTTGCCTCTGTCAAAGGCCCTACGGGTTCTGACATGGTCTTCCAAGAAATAATAGCACAAAGATAAGTGTGATATACAGTAAAAATGAATAATTAAATAGCAACCGCACTGTATATGATTGCAATAAAGAACAAAAATAAACCCATTTCCTGTGTGTGCTTATTATTTAAATAATAAATTGCTTATTACAAGATGAAAAAAAACTTTTTTCAAAATTGATACAGGTAGGAACCTCTGAAGACCATAACAGAAAAGTCAAAATGCATAGTCAGATGCTGGATGTCCATTTCACAAATAGATGGACTCCCATTCTAGCTGCATCCGAAGAAGTGAGCAGTGTCTCACGAAAGCTCATACCCTGCCACATATTTTGCTAGCCTTTAAGGTGCTACTGGACTCTTGCTCGTTTCTACAGCTACAGACAGACTAACACGGCTAGCCATCTTGGTTTTTAAATTGAATTTGTGTTTGATTTCTTAAAAAACAGACAGACACAAAGTCATGTTTTAAACCCACAAGGGGGCACTTTATTGAAATACAATGTTTTTGTGGTGGCACTCACGGCCTCCGCAGGGATCTACTCCAGGCCCCTCCACATCAACAGTGAGAGATTGCCAGAGAGAGAGAGAAATAAACTAGATAGAGAGACAGAGAGGGCAGGAAGCAAAAGCAGAACTAGAGTGTTCGGATTGGGAAGGATTCCTTCTGCAGTATGAATGGCTACAGAGCAGGGGGCTTGGAGCCAGGATTGCCTGCTCCAGGTTGGGAAATTCCTGGAGATTCTGAGGTGAAGTCTGAGGAGTGCAGAGTTTGGGGAGGGGAGAGGCCTCAGCTGGATATAATGCCACAAATTCCACCCATTTTCTCCAGGGGGACAGATCTCTGTTGTCTGGAGTTCAGTTGTAATTCTGGGGGATCTCTGGGGGCTGGCAACCCTAGGCCTAGCAGCACCCTCTGGGGGACTTGATACCACCTGACTTGCATGATTCAGCTAGGCCTGGCTGTTTGCTACTGTTCAACAGCAGCCACCCTATGAAAATCAGTGTAGTATAACGGTCAGAGCTCCAGAGTACGGTTTGCAAGACCCAGGTTTAGATCCCCATCCTGCTGTGGAAGCTCACCGGGTGATTTTGGACCAATCACACACTTTCAGCTTAACCGACCTCATCGGGTTAATAAAACTATTTTTATTAAAGAGATTTAACAACAACTGTCGTTCAAAAACGTGTAGGAAAAACGCGCACAGTAAAAGCAGATAAATCAGCAAAAGAAGAAATCCTCACACGTCTGACTATACTGTCCTAGCCTCCTCAATACAAGAAATCAACAGACACATGAACATTATTGCGTTTCTCCTGTTAAGTCCTGAGCTTAACAAATAGTCGAAGAGTGATTTCAGCCAAATACTCAAGTTTATTCTCTTCACGATTAGTTCTCCAACACGGTACAACATCTGATAGCCCGAACAGTTTGTCCATTGAAACTGCTCGGTATTTAAACATTCCCGGCTAATATAGCCACTCCTACTTTACAGATAACAACCTATCAGATTGATCACATAAGGTCCAATCACAAACGTTCCCGCTTGCAGCTTGCTTGAATGTGATTGTTCATGTAGTCTTGGACTAGAATCCTCTGTCCAAGACGAAGCTTAACATTGCTTCCCAATGGGATGTTTCACACCCATCCTAATGTACTCATGGCAGCATCTGAATACATTACATCTCCTCTATACAGCATATGACTCAAGAACTGAGGGCGAAATTTGGAAACAAGTTATGTCTCCAAACAACCCTTTGGTGGTTCCTCAGATAGGTGTGTGGAGCACAAAGATTTGTGACAAAGCACATTCCATTTGTGCTGAGTCTGGTATGTTCTTGACAGGCAGAAAGGGGCAGAAGAGGAGGATGGTGTGCGGAGGGAAGCGAAGCATGGTGGGATGTTAAGAACGTGGCAAAGCACAGAAACTGAAGGGCATCGGAGGTGCTGTTAACCCAACTCCAGGGGTCAGGTCCAGGTCTTCTTTAGACGTCCCAGGGGCTGGCTGGAAAGTGAATCTCTGCAGGAGACTCACAAAGAAGAGGAAGAACTCCATTTTGGCCAGGGTCTCACCAGCACACACTCGCCGACCTGTGACAATGCAGATGGGGCAGAGAAGCCCAGTTTATTTATAATACTTTTATTCCATTTCCCCATGGAATGATGGCCATAAAATACAAAGAAGTAAATATGCAGACTAAAATACATAGGAACACAGTGATTATGACTACTGAGGAAGAATGCTAATCTTGAAAGAATAATTGAGAAATGGCCAGCTGGGATGGTGTTCTTCCAAGTCAATGGACTTGGGTACATGATCTGTTACTTAAACCCACAGTGATGAATCTAAAAGGCATTACCTGCAGAGAAAGGCAGGAAGGCATCTCTCTTGACAAACCTTCCTTTGGAATCAAGGAAATGCTCAGGATAGAATTTAAGCGGTTTCTCCCACTCAGATTCATCATACAGCACAGAGTACAGTAACGGAATGATATACGTTCCCTGCAAAGTCAAAGCTATGCGTTATTGAAGAAAATGAAGATTACGCATCAAGTACATTAGCTGGCCTTCAGACAAAGCAAATGCCATCCCACAAACTGAGTTAAGTGAGAATTCAAGTGCAAGGAAAGCAAGAAAAAAAATTGACTTGGATGGATAGTGTTTTCACAGTTTGAAATTTTCGGTACAATCCAGGCAAATTCTTTTTTCAGTAAGAGAAATGGGACCAGGGGCATAGAAGTACTTTGTTACCTGGTTCTGTTACGCCATGGAATTAAGTATTGGCTGCAAAAAATTCACAGATGCACCATATTCAGTTGAGCAGTGAATGTAAAGCAAGGAACAAGGAACAATCACCTTTGGAATGAAGTAGTCTCCAAGAGTGACGTCTGCATTGGTGGCATGTGGCAAGGTGGTAGGGGACATATTAGCAAACCTCTGAACTTCATGAATCACTGCATCAGTGTAGGGCAGTTTTGCTCGGTGTTCAATCTGTGGCTGAGCGGACCCGATTACCTCTGTTATTTCTTCTTGCACTTTCTCTGAGAAAACAGAACATTTCCCCCCAATGAATTAAATTTCTGTTTCAGATTTTGCATTATTCCCTTAAAAATACTTTTTGTTGTTCAGTTGCACAGTCGAGTCCGACTCTTCGCGACCCCATGGACTAGATCCCGCCAGGCCCTCCTGTCTTCCGCTGTCCTCTGAAGTTGGCTCAATTTCATGTTCGTTGCGTTGCTGACACTGTCTAACCATCTCATCCTTTGCCCTCCCCTTCTTCTTTGACCTTCAATCTTTCCCAGCATCAGGGTCTTCTCTAGTGAGTGCTCCCTTCTCATTTGGTGGCCATCTTAATTAGCATGAATGGGTCTCAATTTCTGGTGCCACCAGTCAGGGATCCGGTAATGGAGGGGGCTTTCCTGTTCAGCCTTGGACTGTGATACTTCCAACAGTGCTTGGGAAGGAGAGAAAAGAGGTGGAAACAACTTGGTAGTTTTGGGTTTGGGGAAAGATGACATTGAGCAGTAGACTTGAGGGAGTAGTGATTTCTCCTTGAGAATCTGATGCGGGAATAGCAGAGTTGTTGCCTCTTGGAGGGCATTGTTTTGCTTCGGAATCACAATAAGTATCCATTTTTTTATTTTTTAGTCTGCATGGCTCTCTCACCTACTGCAAACAATCCAAGACACTTCGGCTTATGTGTCCTATTAAGTGTTTTCTCCACCTTTGCCATCTCTTTTGCCCACCAAAAGATTGCAGTGATGAACTGTCACTCAAATGGAGGGCTTCAGTGAAGAGGAGGAAGGGAGTGAAGTCATGACTCCAAGAACAATCTTTCAGAAGGTCAAAAGGAACTGCAGGGTGGAGAAATATAAGAAAGAGTCATGCGGTTGCACTTACCAATAACCAGGGGTCGTTTCGTAGAAAAATAGCTAGAGGGACTCATTAGCATAACTCATTAGCATATGCCACACCCCCTGACATCACCAGAAGTGTGTCATAAGGCCACACCCCCTGACATCACCGGAAGTGTGTCATAAGGCCACACAAAAAAAAGGGGCTTCGTCATGTGCCCCGCCCCCCGTACCTCACCCGGGGGAACTGCGATCGCCCGCGTTCCCCCCCGAAAGGACCTCTGCCAATAACTCTTGTTCATCGAAGTGGTCTTCTGTGCAGATACACACTGGGACTGCGTGTGCATAGGCCAGCCGTATAAACGATTCTGAAAGCTTTCTAGTAGACTAGAAGCTTTCTAGTAGACTTTTGGTGCTTTCCTGCCAAAATGATCACATCACCAGGAGGAGGGGCACTACTTTCTCAGTTCTCTCCATGCTGCCGCCCGAGACCCCAAGAAACGAAGGTACCAGAGAGTTCACGGCAGTGCAAGAGGGAGGGATGTGTGCCTGCACAGAAGACCACTCATGAACAACAGTTACAGGTAAGTGCAACCCTCTTTTCATCATTGCAGCTTCTGTGCAGTCCCATATGGGGAGATCAGAAAGCTCAGTGAGTGGAGGGGGTGGGTGTGAAGTTCTCAAAGGAACAGACCATGGAAGGAACCACCTTCCCAACAGTTGTTTAGCATCCCAAATTGACATTCATCCAGAACTGTCTAATAAAGGAGCAGGGAGCTCTCTACAAGTGTCCCAATCAAAATACATGCAACAATGTCAGAAAGAAAAACAACACTATGTCGGAGAGAGCTATGATGCGTAAAGTGGCACTGAACAGCCATGCGCTCAAGACAGAGTGTAATAGCCTCTAATAATTTTAATAATTACATCTGCTAGAATTCTTTTTGCAAAAAAATTTGGAAATCTGAGAAAATTCCCAGTGCAGAGGAAATGATCAATAAAATATTAAACTTATGTCATTGCAAGATAAAAATGATAAAGTTCATTTGAAGAAATGGTAGAGAGTATATAAATGGATAGAGGAGAAGAATTCTGTGCAGATACACACTGGGACTGCGTATGCATAGGCCAGCCGTGTAAATGATTCTGAAAGCTTTCTAGTAGACTAGGAGTGTCTCTCCTCCCTTTGGTGCTTTCCTGCCAAAACGATCGCATCACCAGGAGGAGGGGCGCTACTTTCTCAGTTCTCTCCATGCTGCTGCCAGAGACCCCAAGAAACTAAGGTTCCAGAGAGTTCACAGCAGTGCAAGAGGGAGGGATGTGTGCCTGCACAGAAGACCACTCAATGAACAACAGTTACAAGTAAGTGCAACCCTCTTTTCATCATTGCAGCTTCTGTGCAGTCCCATATTGGGAGATCCAGAACTGTCTTATAAAGGAGCAGGGAGCTCTCTACAAGTGTCCCACCAAAATACATGCAGGAACGCTGGAAAGAAAAACAGCATTATGTTGGGAAAAGCTATGATAACGTAAAGTGGTACCGAACAGCCATGCACTCAAGGCAGACTGGGAGAGCCTGTACCAACCCACAAGGACTGGTTGTGTGAGGATGCTGACCAGTACTTTTTTTTGAGCCTGAGAGACCATTACAGAGCAGTGTTGGGTCCCTCGCAAACCAAACCCCAAGAAAAGTCGTATTCCAGGAATTTAAGGAGTGCACAGATGTTTGGTCTCAGAAACAAGTGAAAGGATAGCATTGTGCAACTTGAGGACTGAGAGACAATCCCTAGTAGGGGATCCTGGCCGGGGCACCAGACACCCTAACCTTTTGAAAATTCATGAACGTTGGAGGCAGAGGTGAGAATCCACAGTGTCCTCATTCTACAGCTAGAAGTGCTGCATACTAAAAAACCCCCAACAACCCTCTATTGCAGTCCCAGCGCCTAGGGAAGCAGAGAGGGAAGTGAAGGATCTCTCCTGTGGCAACCCCCCGCCCCCAGTAAGACAATCCCTCTCAACCTTTTGATATAAAATGGCCATTGGTTACAGCTATAAGAAGCCTTAGAACACCATGGGACAGCCAGACCGTGGCATCGACTGACCCACCTGCCAGTTGATGGGCCCGGTCCACCCCAGCTGCCCCCCTGCTGGGGTGGGGGAGAGCCCTGGGATAGCAGGATGTCAGATTCCACAAGGATATGACCCCCACTAAGTGGTCTTTCCTGCCACCTGAACGTGAGGGTAACCCCACTGTCAGCCCCAGAGCTAGGCATGACCCTTGAAAGCCCTCACCCCAAGATCCCTTAAGGGGATCTTCACACACCACAAAAATGGGCACACAGGCCAGTTTTCCTAAAATGGATCCATCCCCATGCTGACATCATCGAAAGTTATGACAGATCAATGAAACAAAATCCACCTGAACAGGAATTTACCCACATGTCCTCTCATCACGGCACCATCCCCTTAGCAATGACAACCCGTAACCCCCCGCATGCATTCTTCCCCTAAAGCATTACCACTCAGGGAGGGGTGGACAAGTGATCCCACACGGCCGGGTGAGCTGGCCATGCGGCTCAGCACGTTTCCCCCTGGTGGTCCCTCCTCCTCACCATGGCCCAAATCAGGTCCGATCATAGGCTGTCCTGGGAGGTGACGGGCCAGGTTTTCATGCCCTTGCAGCTGCCACCACCCCCAGCTGCCCACGTAGCCCATCCCTCCTTGAAGAACATGGCCGCCATCGCTGCTGTTGCCCCTGCTGGCTCATCCACCCCATGGCCACCAATACCTTCCTGAGAGCCCCTCTCCCCTAGCTGTTTCAGTATTGGAACATGCATGGGCAAGGGGAATAATATCACTGGGTCTCCCTGTGCCATGGGACCTCTTGGCACTTTTTAAATGGCCAACCATTTCTCCATGGCTGCCATAACATCCAGTTTGGCCTGAGTGGGAGGCAGAGTGAACAATCACTCTCTAAACACAATTGGGAACTTGGGGAAGGGCATGGCAGATGCAACATTAGAAAGAGAATTCAACCCACCCCTTCTGTTGTTGTTATCATTACACCAGCTGGAGGGGGGGGGGGGAAATACAACTCACTTGCGCATCTAGTTCATCAAAGAACATCCAATTGCTTCCTAAGATTTCCTTCTGTCATTACCACTAAGTTGCACTGGAATCCAGATGTTAATGGAAGCCAACCAATGGAAAGCACTCACTCTGAATTTCAGGGTACTTCATCATCAGCAACACGCCCCAGCACAAGGTGGCCGAAGTGGTCTCTGTGCCAGCAACAAAAAAGTCCCTCACAACATTCTTTAGATTTTCGTTATGAAAAAATCCATCAGTCTTGTTCTTCTCCTATGGAATGAGAGTAAAGACATGATTAAAACTGCATAAATAGAATTCATCTATACATAGCACAATAAGTACCAAGAGGGCTGCGAATATTTCATTGCATCAATGGGGATGAAAAGTCCCCATCAATCGTCATGACATTTCCCTCTACCCTAGATGAGAACCAGTTAAAAATAGGTCTGCTAACCTGCAGGCGGGGCCTGGAGATCTCCCAGAATTACTACTGACCTCCAGATGACAGCAGTCAGTTCCTCTGGAGAAAATGGCTGCTTCAGAGGGGGGGACTCTATGGTGGTACACCCGGCTGAGGTACCTCCCCAGGTTCATCCCTCTCACATCTCCAGGAATTTTCCATCCTAGAGATGGCAGCCATAGCTACACAGATAAAATATCTTCATAATATACCAAACCATGAGAAGAAATAAAAGGAACAGGAGAAAAGAGATCAGATGCTAGAAGGGTTGTACAATGTTCAGTAACCTTGGCGTCACACTTCAGTCTTCTACAGCATCGAGTTTACACACTCCTTTTTTCACATCAACTTATTTTTATTATTATTATTATTATT